ATCCAGACCAGAGCTGAGGGAAGCAGGTTCCCCTTGATGAGGTTTGTCAGCAGCACATTGAACGATGCCTCCTGTGTGACGTCAGAAACCGGTGGACTGTTGGTGAAATCCAGCTGAAGTCTGCTTTCATCCAGGCCGTCAAAGATGAAGAGAAGTTTACAGACAGCCAGCTTCTCTGCTGGGAGCTTCTGGAGTGTTGGATGGAAAACATGGAGCAGCCTGAGAAGACTGTACTGCTCATCTCTGATCAGGTTCAGCTCCCTAAACGAAAGCAGAACCACCACACTGACATCTTGGTTGTCCAAGCCCTCGGCCCAGTCCAGAGTGAACTTCAACACCGAGAAGGTTTTTCCAACTCCAGCCACGCCATTGGTCAGAACCACTCTGGTGGTTTTTTTTTTATTTTTTATGTTTTGGCCGGGTAAGGCTTTAAAGATATCCTGACACCTGATTGGAGTCTCATGGAGGATGTGGGTCTTGGAAGCGGTCTCCAGCTGCCTGACCTCATGTTGGGTATTAACCTCTTCACTCTGTCCCTCTGTGATGTAGAGCTCAGTGTAGATCCTGTTGAGGAGGGTTCTACTTCCTGTTTCATCACTTCCTTCAGTCACACGCTCACATCGCCTCCTCAGACTGATCTGATGTTCATCTAAAACCTCCTGCAGACCAACTTCTGAGGAAAAATGGATCAAAGAGAAGATGTGAATGCTGCAGCAGAAATTCCAAAATTTTGATTGAAGCTTAAATCAGAAGGATGTTTGTAACGATCTGAACTCTTCAACAATGTGTCTGTATTAAAACAACAGGTGGACAGAAATGTCTTACCTTGGACACAGCTGCTCTGACTGCCTGTCTGCAGTCCACTTCTGCTTTTGGATCTTTGTCCACACTGGGGACAGGATGCAGGTTCTGATGAAGCAGACTGGTGCCTGAATAACGTAATGAACCGTCTCCTCAACTTGCATCCAAAGCCTGCAGAGACTGTATCCTTCAGGACATCCTGACACAAAGAACAGCAGGACAGCTGGCCTCCAGTTCTAATGTAAAGAACCTTGGTGTTATTTTTTTATCAGAATATGTCTTTTAACCCCCACATTAAAAATGTTACCAGGACTGCCTTCTTCCACCTGCGTAATATCTCTAAAATTAGAAACATCTTGTCCAAACATGATGCAGAAAAACTGACCCATGCATTTATCATGTCTAGGCTGGACTACTGTCATTTTTTATTATCTAGGTCCATAAACCTGTTTAAGAAGTCTTCAGTTGATCCAAAATGCTGCTGCTAGAGTTTTAATGAGAGTTGGAAGGAGAGATCATATTTCTCCAGTTTTAGCTTCTCTCCACTGGCTCCCTGTCAAATTCAGAATAGAATTAATTAAAAATCTTACTTCTAACATACCACGCTCTTAACAACCAAGCTCTATCTTAAATTAAAGATCTTATTGTTCCATATTTTGCTAACAGAGCACTTCGCACTCAGACTGCAGGTTTACTTGTGGTTCCTGGAGTTTCTAAAAGTAGAATGGGAGGCAGAGCTTTCAGTTATCAGTTTCTGTCCATGAGGCTGACACTCTGTCTACATTTAAAGCTAGACTGAAGACTTTCCTTTTTGATCAATCCTATTGTTAGGCTGAGGTTTCCTGACTTATTCCTTAGTTCTGCTGCTATTTCTGTTTTTATTGTGTTTTATTTGAACAATTCAGTTTATTTCTACATGTTGATTCTTGGGTTTTACATTAGACACTTTCTGTGGTTTTCTTTGGTGCTGATCTGACACAAACAGAAAGTGAAACTTCAAACAGAGCCAGAGGCTGCATTTTACTGATGTCATACTCTGACAATAAATCAGCATCGAGCAGAACTTTGTTCCACCAATCAGAGCTCAGCAACTGCACACTCTTTCCGATCAAAAGGTTTTCTCACATTGTGTCTGAGGGTCTAGGATCAAAACTGAATTGTTCAGGTAGACCTTTGGACTGGTCACTCTTCATGCACAGACTGCTGGAACCTGGAGATGTTTCCTTCACCCAACTTTCCATCTTCTAGTCTTCAGTCGCTCTGAGAGAAACCAGTAAAACAAACAAATAAATACAGATACACACATACCCAGTCTGGTACAGCTAACTTTTTGGGGACCTGGCATTGACTTCCATTATTTTCTACATCCTAACCCTGACCACCAACCCTAAGACTAACCTCACAGAAACCTACCTGACCCTAAAACTAACCTAAACTCAATTCACACCTTGGTCCTAAACTGAACCATCTCTACCTTCTTCAGCTTATCTGTAGTCGGGTCCCAGAGGGGACAAGTCCAGGAGAGAAATCCAGACCTCCCTCTCCCCAGCAACACTTTCCAGGTCATCCTGGGGGACCCCGAGGCGTTGCCAGGCCAGAGAGGATACATAATACCTCCAGTGAGTCCTGGGTCTTCCCCATGGCCTCCACTCAATGGGACATGCCTGGAACACCTCTAAAGGGAGGCATCCTAACCAGATGCCCAAACCACCTCAACTGACACCTTTTGATGTGGAGGTGCAGCAGCTCTACTCCGAGCTCCCCTCGGAAGATGGAGCTCCTCACCCTGTCACTAAGGCTGAGCCCAGCCACCCTACGAAGGAAGCTCATTTTGGCCGCCTGTTTCCGTGATCTCCTTCTTTCGGTCATGATCCACGCCTCATTACCATCTGTGAGGGTTGGAACGAATTCAGACCAGTAAATCGAGAGCTTTGCCTTTTGACTCAGCTCTGTCTTCACCACGACTGACCGAAGCAACGCCCTCATTACTGAGGATGAGGTCCCAATCCATCGATCCAACTCCCGCTCCATCCTACTGTCACTCGTGAACAAGACACCCAGAAACTTACACTACTCCACTTGAGGCAATGACTCTCCCCTGATCCAGAGGGGGCATTCCACCCTTCTCCGGTTGAGAACCATGGCCTCAGACTTAGAGGAACTGACTCTCATCCCACCCACTTCATACTCAACTGTGAACCACCCCAGCACATGCTGAAGGTCTTGAGCTGAAGACACCAACAGAACCACATCATCTGCATACAGCAGAGACGAGACCCTGCAGTCCCCCAAACCAGACACCCTCCTCCCCTACAACTGCGCCTTGAGATCCTGTCCATAAACACTACAAACAGGATCAGAGACAAAGTACAGCCCTGGCGGAGTCCAACACGCACTGAGAACAAGCTTGACTTTGTGCCAAGAATGCAAACAAAACTCCTTCTTTGGTTATATAGGGACTGGATCAGTAGGGACCCAGACACTCCATATTCCTACAGCACCCCCCACAGAATTCCCTGAGGAACACAGTCATAAGCCTTCTCCAAGTCCACAAAACACATGTAGATCAGAGAAGCAAACTCCCATGACCCCCTTAGCAACTCTGCAAGGGTAAAGATCTGGTCTACTGTTCCACACCCAGGTCAAAAGCCACACTGCTCCTCTTGAATCTGAGGTTCAACAACTGATCAGAGCCTCCCTTCCAACACCCTGGAGTAAACTTTCCTGGGGAGGGTAAGTGTGATCCCACGATAGTTAGAACACACTCTCTGGTCCCCTTTCTTAAAAAGGGGAACCACCACCCAGGTCTTCCACTCCACAGGAGTTGTCCCAGTCCTCCATGCGATGTTGAAGAGATGTGTCAACCATGACCATCAACCATCAACCATCAACAACATCCAGAGCCTTCAGCATCTTGGGGCAAATCTCATCCACCCCTGGCGCCTTGCCACCAAGGAGTTTTTTGACTACCTCGGTGACCTCTGCCATTGTATTGGACTCGCCTTTCTCCGAGTCTTCAGACTCTGCCTCCTCAAAGGTGGACATGGAGGGTGTATTCAGGAGTTCCTCAAAGTGTGCCTTCCACCGCCCAACAACATCCTCAGTCCTGGTCAGACGTTCCCCACCCAAGCCAAGTACAGCCTGGTACTGGGAACGCTTTCCTTTTCTGAGTCGTCGATCGGTCTGCCAGAACCTCCTTGAGGCCAATCGAAAGTCCTTCTCCATGGCCTCCTCGAATTCCTCCCACACCCGAGTTTTTGCATCTGCAACCACAGAAGCTGCAGCCCTCTTTGCCACCCTGTACCTGTCAGCTGCTTCAGGAGTCCTTTGGGAAAGCCAAGTCTGGAAGGCCTCCTTCCGAACCCCCAATCCAAAAATGGAGTTCACCATATTAGGATGTGTCTTTGGTCCCCATTAGGACTACTGGTCTTGAGAAAGTAGGTGTGTATACCAGAAACAGTCCAAAATAGGTAACAAAAACAAGTACACACACACACACAAACACACACACACACACACAGCCATGATGTGACTACATTATATTTTAAGCAGTAATTATTACCTGCCTTTATAATCTGCTTCAACATTCACATTGCTTTATAGGTGCGTTAGCAAAATACCTTCTGAACCATTAAACCAATCAGTCACAGAAACTAATGATTGGA